TTTGTTGTGATTTGGCGCTATATAAATAAAATTGAATTGAATTGAATTGAAAATAGACAGTTACACTTACACCAATTTACCTAAAGAGAAGAGGATCCAGAGAGGACTCACACAGACAGGTCCCAGGCAGATGGTGGATTGAACTCAGACCCTTCTTGCTGGGATTCAGCAGTGCTCATGATTGCGCTACCACTTAAATTATATAGTGACAAAGAAACTTTTGTTTTTGTCATCATCTTATGAACTTATCTTGTGAACACTTTAACTGTGTGTGTCTGCTGTTTGGTATGAAACAGGTGATGTGCAGTGGAGCTTTTTTCAAGACTGAATCGAAATATGGTGGCAAATCTAATCTGAGCCTGGAGCCTAATAAAAGGGAGTTTTTCCTTCCCACTTTCACCAAATGCGTTCCCAGAGGAGATCACCTGCTTGTTGATTTTCTCTGTATTATTGCAGACAGTATTGTAAACAGCCATGTTAGAGGCTGGAAAAGTAAAGCACCGAGTTGATAGATGCTACAAAGCCTTGCTGATAAACTGATGATGATGATATGAAACTGACTGATAAACTGATGATGATGTGTATCATGTGATCACTGATCAGTGTTCGCAGGCTAATACAATCTATCAATCTAAACAACCAAGTTTGAATTTTGTTTTGTTTTTAAAACTTATATTAGATACATAACCTCAGACATAAAGGGTACAGATAAATACTTACTTGGTGTCCCGCTGGCTGAAAGTGAAAAGGCACTGACCAAAAGATGGCTAACACAGGATCCACCAACCTTAAACAGCTGAATTGATGTAACACTAGAGATTTATAAGATGGAAAAGATTATTTTTTTTTTAGTGAATTTAGAGTATGAGAAATGTATAAACCCCTGGGGAAAATGGCTCTGCTTTGTGGGATCTATAAGGCCAGATATCGCTGCTATCCACCATTAGAGTGGCTTAATTTGCAAAGTAACATGTACTAATGCTATTTATGCCCTCATCTGCTACTGATGGTGTTGTTACTTGAATGTCCTCTGGATGCATACAGTTACAAACTATGTCTATCTGTAAATATGTTTTGTTTTTGTTTCACACTCTTGTGAAGGGAAACGTTTTTCTTCACCCAGACTTCTATGCTCTCCTGTATATGAGTCTTAAAATTAAGATATGTGTCAAGTGATGTACATTTTATTTTATGTATAACATTAAAAAAAAACC